CACTTCCTTTTGTTCCCTTGTTGGACTTCTCGAAACGCTGTAGCATGAGTAGGGCGAATCGATACACGATCATGTTTGAGAAAGCAGGGAAAAAAATTCCAGCTCGGTTCAGAGAGGAAAAAACGGATTCGAGATCGCGTCGACAAACGCGTCTAATGGTAGGGGTCTTAGGACTACTGGCCTCTGCGACATGGAAACCAACCTTAATACCATGGCCATGACGCGCTGCCTCGTTGAAAGGGTGCAGGGTAGGCGTCACGGGTTAGCCCTGCTTGACAGAGTGGCCAATGCCGAGACAAATAGCTCAAAATCGTGACCATGAGCAAACAATTCTCTCAATTTCAATGATGAGGGTACTGATCCTCAATGGTGGCAACGTTTTAGCGAAGTTTTCGCGGTTCCAATAATAATAGGTTGATACTGTTCACCCTGCTTACTATTCCGGAAAACGTGAACGTGGAAGCAGGAGAAGAACGTTCAAAGGGTAACAATAGCCTGTCCAGAGCGGGTGATTGATTTGTTATCGGAAGAATTGTCACTGAAGTAATGCAGAACATGAGAGTAACGTCGTCCTGCTCGTCACAAATCGCAGCACGGATGTGACAAAGTGACTGTTCCTTAAAGAGGGATGTTTTTCGGTTTTACACACGATAAACAATCGTGCTCAAAAGAAATTAGAGTTGATTGTGAATGCTTTTTCTCGTCCTCCTTGCTCTTGTTTACTAAGTGACTTCCTTGTTTGGTGTATCATAATCCCACCTGACTATCCTGCAGGAACACCACTCGAAAAGGCAGCCAGCTATCACAACACTTAACGAACATAAGCCCAAAGTAGAGAACAACACAAAAGTAGAAGGGCACGAACTGGTAGCGCGTATTGCTATTGTTCGACGTGCAGCTGGCCGTTGGTGTTACGTGCCTGCATGCATTGCTTACGGGTGAAGCCACAAACGAAGCTACAACTTCTCAATATCCTCCGGCATTATTTTGGCGCACTTTCGAATCGTGAGGGCGTCACACTTTACAGCAGCTTACAGGCTCATGGTGAGTATCACGATCCTCGCTTGATGCTTTAGTACAAAGCAGACAACGCACATCATCGCCTTGGATTCTTCAGCATGGGGGTCGTATTTGACCGATGGGGTGGGAAGGGAATGCTACAAAAAATTGAAAGGATTACCCAACAGTATTTATACGTTGACCCAAGCCCGTGAATACGAAGTGACTGAACAGTACAACTCAAACAAGTAGCTCGGTAGTCCATAGACGTTTGTGACCCATATGGACACATCGGGCGCGTGGACAGACATTGCGTAGAAGTTGCACCATCCCACCACCTCTGCGTTAAAGCTTAATGCATGGCGCATCTAGACAAAAGCTAATGGGCTCTAAGCCACTCATTGCCTGAATCTGTTCCAAAAACAGCAAACCATAAAAAGGAGGGAGGTTTGCGCCAACCCACCTTTTTTTGAGGGGGGCTGGTCGTACGGACTCGACCATGATCCCCAACGCACGATGTTTCCTATTTGTAGATGTGCTTTTGCATGCGATGGTCGTTATAATCTATCAAGAAAGAAATGAAAAAGAGAAGAACGAAGCAGTACATTCGGTATTATACAACTTATGGGAGGTCATATCATTATGTTTATATGTGTGGTCTAACACGCCTGGAATGTGTCGTTTTTGCCTACGTCGAAGAAATTGCCTCTCAACTGACTTCGTTCTTCGACTGTGCGAAATGTTCCATGAGTAACCCATTCTATGCCATGTCCATATACCACGCCTACTCCGTCTCACGGATAAGTGCTGTACCAGGAAGGACGTCTACGAAGTCGCTTGTGCACGGGAGCTGCCTTTGAGTCACTCCTGGGAGGGAATAGTTTTTGGGCTTGTCGAAAGAGAATCATATTGTTTCGACGAGGGAGAGAATCATTGGGAAGGAAAAGGGAATGTCTACCTTTCCTCTCCATATAACCGTCATATCCCTAGACGGAGTAGGTTTGGCGTTTGATGGAGTGCAATGTCTCGGAATATTTCAATTTGGGATAATTGTCATTTTGTTCAGCGTTGGACAAAGACATAGGCACCATTGTGTCAGAGTTAAAATATGTCACCACACAGCGCCACCATCACTTTAGTTGAACGTTGTGACGCGGCCGCGCGCACCGCATCACAGGGATTTTGAGTGTACATATAATGTACTATTGCATATTTTAGACTAAGTTTTCTGGAAATAGGAACCAAAAGGAAGCGAGAAGTCGGGACTAGGGGTCGGGGAGGACTACCTGTATTTTGGGCGTGGCACATGATCTCCCAGCGCGGGCTGATGTGCCTTCGCTCGCTGATTGTCAGCAACAACTTGCGGAGAAAGGCTGTTTCGGCTGCGCTCTACATATTTCATGCCCATTCACACGCCCCACCGTTTGCGGTGAGCATGGCTAGTGAGTGACTTCACGCTGCAGAACTTCCATGTTAGCTCAGTTGGCTCCTTGTGCAAATGGCTCGCACGCGAGACCAGCCGTGAGGCAGATCCTTGACACAACTCGAGCCTATTGAAAAATTGTATCTATTGAACGATTGTAACACAAGTAATGTTTTCTCTCACGCGAAATATTTCGCTGAAGATTAAAAGTTTTGCCATTGAGTTTCGTACCTTTTGCAGAGAATTCCTTGCCCTTTATGACAGGTCTCGTTTTTTTGAAGTTTCTCTCTTCACATATATTTAGTTGCTCAAAGTGCCAGGTCGACGATCTTGAGCCAGCCTAATTTTTGACAGCCTCTCTTTTTTACTACTGATTGAGAAGCCAAATCCGCACATGCCCAGTTCGTTCATATTGGTTTAATTTATTGGAAAAATTCCATACTTCACTGACAAGCATCGAACCTAATGCCCTAGCCTAAAAAAAGAATCCAAGAAACAGTAAGAAAGCAACCAACTGCCTTACAGAGTAGGACGTTGTCTATCACATACTGTAAGATATTGGGAACAACTGTCATCCTCAAAAATTTTTGTGAGGAAAAAACGCCATTACCTATGGGTCAACACAACAGTTCCACGGCAGTTGGGCTGGAGTTAGCCCCGGGAAACGGGGTCATGCTGAACAACTGATTCTCATCGCTACGACGCGCTTCACTTACATTTCCCATACCAAAGCATTTAGATAGCGGTCATACTCCACAACTCTCGTGATTTGGAAATCACTGGGCAACGAGCCATTGCGCTGCTCTACCTCGTTTCCGTTCAATTACTGATCAAATCGCACTCAGAATGCAGCTTCTGTCACCCTTTCGATGGTACGAACAAAAGCGTGGGAGTGCGGTCTGTAGCAGTGCGCTAAATGTTTCTTCCTGGACTGCATGAATTCCTAAATTGTTTTTCTAGTCAGGAGGCATGTACGCGTAAATTTTGTGAAGGTTGCACGAAGCATAGTCTGAACGTGAAATGAGACTGTTTGTGACGTTGTAATACAAAAAAATGCCGAAAAACGAGTCACTTCTCAAGCAAATGTACCGTCTTTGGGTGTAAACACAGACGATAAGGAATTGGCACGTCAGTTCTCATTGCAAAATTAATGAGACTCAACATTCCTTCTAGAGGAATACACCTTTCAATATGACCTTGAGCCTCAGGAGAGTCACTTCCCAGCGGGGCCAGGTCGTGTCATGTCTGCTCGTCTGCGCTTTCTTGCGTTATATGTTTTAACATGACAATGGCAAGGTTGTGGAACTTGCCACTTCCCTCCTCTACCATCCTCCGTAAACAGCACGACGATAAATAGAACGAGGCGTGGCTAAGCCTCTCTGTAGTGTGGCCCTTTCCAACGCAGATCACTTCTGGTACTGTGGTCTCAAACAATTCCCATATTCATTCAATAGGTAGAGCGAGCAAATGTACGACGATCAAAAAACTTGTTGAGGCCAGTAGCGATGGTTCGATTTTCACACGTAGAGACAGAGACGACGTTGCTGCGCTGATATCTTTGACATCGAAAGAAGTTGTATATGTCGCTGCGGAGTTCCTTGTTGAATATCAGCAGAGAGAACGGTGGTATACTGACCATAATGTCGTTTAACCAAAAAAACTAAAAGAGAACGCATTACCAAGCAAGCCTGCCATTGCTGGACAATAAATCCACATAATATTACTAAATCATGCATTTGGAAATGCTAAGTGGACGCCACAACAAAACTGGCCTATTGACACGTTGGCGATATTGTGAGCTGCCGGTGGCTCATAAAGTTTGCACCACTTCTGGTGTTATTCCCAGTAGTTTCTACTGATCTCCTCTTTGTTTTCTGAACACAAGTCGCAGGTGAATTTCCAACAGGAAATGGAGAAAATCTCTGTCAGAAAAGCGAGAAAGATTTCCGCCATCTCCATGAGATATTTCGAATTGGAGTCTGGAACTTTCCCACTAACTACAACTATTCCAAAAATCTTAAGAAAAGCTGTTTTGAGCACTTTGGCTTACTTAGGGACTACTCAATATTCTGATCACGAATGCGACGTTCGTCCTAGTGCCGGCGTCATATGGCGCCAATAAGCGCCGATTTCGCTTAACAACCTTTTCTTCCAAAGAATGACTAGTGCACCACAGTTATCTGACTTCCTGCTCACAGATATAGTATTTGTTTTCAGCTTGCGTGCCATGTGGCCGAATTATATAGAAGCATATCGGGGTGATTGGGACTTCGAACAAACCAATTTGTTGGGAGTTAGTAACGTCACAAGCGTCAACGCTAGAAAGGAATATCATATTTGTGACCAGGACACTCAATGGTCGTAGTAGGGATTGAAATCAAGGCTGGAAGGAAAAGTAGTGGTAGCAAACGGTGAGATTGCGAGAAACAGATGTTAAATTTGTGACCAGCAGTACCGAATTACCACTGGCTGCCCTGTAGTCGAGTTATGAATTTTTCTCAGTGACGCCGTTTACTCACGGCCCCGTGTAAAGAAAAAAATAACATTTAAGTGGTGACAAGGTATTACTGCGACAAAGAGCGACGAAAAGGTTGTGAACTAGAGGAAAGGTCAACTTTCGATAGCCTGCTGGAATATGGATCATATCTTTCATTTACCAGAAAAACAGAAATTTTCATTTTTCTAAAAATGAGTTTGCCTACAAACAAAATTCACGATCACTTCTTACTTCTCGTAACGTATTTAATTTATTTTGGATGCATTATTGAAGTCTGGTAAGACAGCATTGATACAGGTCGATCTTGTCCAAACCTTTCTAATCCAGCCCAGCATCACACAAAACCCCTTTTGAAAAGCGCCCCTCAGTCAGAGAGATACTCGTTGTCACCGCGGGTGCATACAAATGAGGACTGATAAGTGTCGCTGCATGGTAAGGATGAACAAGCTATCTGTCGCTGCAGGATGGGAAGATAAGTGATGGTCGCACACGAGGGTTAAAGATGCTTCCAACTTTTTCTAGCGAGGTCAAAGGGTTACTGTAACTAACCTGCATGGATGCCCAAACATTCAGTGCATCATCTCCAGTCATGGTTGCGATTCCCTTCAACACTTGCTGCGTGCACATTAACATGGTGAACAAAAACACAATTGTTGTGTAAAAGAGCATACCCTGAACCTCACATTTTAGAGTTAATTTAGAAGGACTACAGATGTCTACGAAAACATGGCAATGGAAATGGCGGATTTTCGAGTAAGCTGGTTTCTTGAGCTCTTGAAAAGTTTGCCCTCGAATTTCTCTTTTTCATGATATGGGAGTCAACCAATACTGATGTCTATGAAAGGCACTTACCCTCTCGCTGCGAAGGCGCCTCGCAAACTCGTTAACTTTTAATAAGCCGTGTAGAAGGACAAGCGAACCGACATTGAGAATAACACCAACTATCGCGTAAAGTGAACACGTAGCAATGTAGGTGAATCTATTGATCTATAAGTGTCCGAGGCTTTTACTCTTCAAATGTAAAAATTTAAACAATCAAGCATTCTCTTTGCACGCAGTACGATATGGGCGTCGTGTAATCTGCCAAACAGTAATGCTTCTTCGCAGAAGAAAAGGCCTGTGACGGGAAGTAAATTTCACTGCTGCCGAGGCTACCCCCCAATGATGTGGTGAGTCGACTACAATTAGTGGAAATATCTGTTACGTGTTCAGCTCCCCCCCCCCCCTCCTCATTCCTTCACAGGCCCTATCATTTGCAATGGAGATCAGTCTGCTTGTGTATCTATGATGAAATTCGTAGTTTACATCGCTGCAGCAGTTAGACCTTGGTTCCAAAAAGTGATCTAGGGGCAGAGCAGGAACACATAGGTTGACGATAGGAAGTACTGACAGTAGATAGAACTTGATAAGGAGCGTTAGAAGGGGAAAGCCACCATAGCGCAGGAATGGAGGCATTGGTGAGAGAAAGCGAAAAGCAATTCAAAGGCAAGCAAAGATAAAATCGTTTCCCAGAATCATTTTCACCGCCCACGAAAAGAACAGCAACCGATTCCTGTTGATCCCTAGGTTCTAACTGATGAGATGCTATTTATTAGCTTAGCAGTAGTCGCGACATATCTAACGCTATGTTTCAGCAGCGAAAGAAAAAGTTTGGAATAAGTCGAGAAATGACGTCTTCAACCGTTACGCTTAAAGGGCTCATTAGAAAAGGGGTTAGATAGAACAACAAATAACGTGGGTTTTATCACAAATGGATGTTCGACTAGGCATCCTTCATCGAGTGAGGCACAATAGACTCGTCGTACCAAAACTGACCAGATCGCTTCGTTTATCCATGCCCATATACAAGAAAGTTCCATCATCTTTCTTGATAAAGATGTATTCTGCTTTGAATAGTGGAATGAAAGCTGCAAAGGCACAGCCATATTGTAGTCCTATTATAATACGTACATTTCTCCGGTTCCAAACCTTAAGGTTATTCAGTGTAGTGCAGTTTTGATGGAGAACTCGACTGATGAATTTTATTACAATTCCGTATATCGTTTTGGAACCCAGGTAAGAGGACCACAATTTCTATATAATCGTGAAAAGCCACTAACCTTTTCATACCTTTCTTTTAGGCAAAGTGCAGAGAACCGATTAACTGCGATGAGCATATTTCCAAGCATATGGGCAGCAAAAGATGTACAGCCAACAATACCACCAATTCGAAACAGAGGCACGAATTGTGGACCCAAGGAAGGGAGTTCGCTTTTAATACGAAATAGACAGAAGATTGAAACAGATGTCACGTCAGCAATTCCTAGGCGAAGAACGACCGCGTTAGCATGCTTGAAATGATTCTCCTGTGTTTCCACAGAGAGACAATAAATAAAATTAAAAAATTGCACGGAGCGTTCATTTCATTTTCTCTCAAATGAGTCTTATCGG